GATCATTTTGCTGTTTTGTTTGGGGGGGGGGGGTAAGCACCCATTTTTTTTTTTTCCTTTTTTTGAGTTGTTAATTCCCCCCAGAAGTTTAAACGCATATTGCTTCTTCACGGCTTTCTAGAAGAAAAGGGTGAGAAATTTGCTCATTTCCAAGAATTTACTACAGAATTTCTGGGGAGGGGCAGTGCCGGGGCACCCCAAAAACAGAACTGGGAGCTATAGAAAGCTCCAGGGTTTCCAGGTTTTCCTCGGGAGCCAATTCTCCGGAGCAAGCTGAGCTGCTAAAAGGCCCCTGGGGTGCAAGTAACCCAGCCCTGCTCCCACCCAGCAGCCGCCCACTTCGGGGGAACAAACCCAAGCAGAGTTTCTCCATCAACTGGGTCCCACATTCAGAACTGAGTGGATGTGGAACTGCCCCAAAGGCGGCATTACTATTTATTTGATGTATATCCTGCCATTCATTCGAGTCCACCAGGTAGGATACCTAGTGCTTGCTTCTCCCATTTTTTCCCACAACAACATCCCTGCAAAGTAGGTCGGGTCAAGAGAAAATGCAGGGAGTTTTCGTGGCTGATTTCCCCACTCCTAGTCCAGCATCTTCCCACTGCCCCACCCCAGCCACAATCTCCAAGGAAGTTAGCCTTCCTGCCTATCCATATATAAGCTTACAGGTTGTCCTCCTGTAGTGACTGCCTCCTTTAGTGACTGTTCGCAGTTATGACGGTGATGAAAAGTAACTTAGTGACCAATCCTTGCATTGACGACCTTTGCAGGTCTATAAAGCAAAGGAAAGCTGAAGGAAGGTTGCAAGCACAGTCATGGGTTCACTTAGTGACTGCTTTACCTAATGACCGAGCTGCTGGTCCCAATTGTGGTCGCTAAACGAGGAGTCCCTCTATATATCACTCTCTCCTCAGATTTTTCCCTACAACCAGCACCCTCTGAGCTCACTGGAATAGCTGATCAATGAAACTGGCAAAAAAACAAATCAATAGGCTAGCATTTATCTTATCTGTCCGGTTTGTGTCCTAGAGACTATTGATTTGATATTTCCCCCCTTTTTGCTCAGGAACTTGAGGCATCACACGTAGTGCTCACTGCCCTCATTTTATCCCTACAACAACCCTGTGGGGTAAGTTGGGCTCCAAGAGAGTAACTGACCCCCAGGGAGACCAGAACGTGGGTCTCCCCACTCCCAGGCCAGCGCCTTCACCCCTGGATCATCCTGACTCTGGGGCTGGCCCAAAGTCACTTAGGATTAGAACCCGGATCTCCCCGATGCCAGTCCAGCGCATAAGCGTTAGATGAAACCCATCTAATGGGGGAATTCTGGGAGTTGAAGTCCACCTATCTTAGTCGCCAAGGTTGAGAAACGCTGCACAATCCGAGGTTTCTTGCCCCATCCTGTCCTTTTGCGACCTTCCCGGCGGGATATAGCAGCGTCAGTCCCATGCAGATTAGCAGCCCGGCGTGAACTTTTGCACCCCACGGGCTCTTCCCCACTGGCTTGGCTCTTTCCCAACACCCTCCTGGCAGGGGCCCCCAAGCCCCCAGGAGAGCCCGGCTGTCCTTAGCAGACCTCGCCCTGCAGGGGAGCTGCAGTTCGCACGGCTGCCCGCCCAGGAAGAAACCCCTTGTTTGCAAAATGCCAGGCACGACGACTTCTGCAGCGGATCTCTTGGCTCAGAAGCCGAGGCCCAAAATAAGCCTGGCGGGGCAGAGCGGAGGGTCCCTTGAGCGGGGCCAGGCTGGGAAAGAATGGCTGCCTGTCATCATCCTCATGGAAAGGGGGTGGAGGGGGGGCATCATGACCTTTCTGGCGCTCGGTCGCTAGCCCGGCACCTCGGGGCTGCTGCGGAGGGGCAGAACGCTGCCTGGAGACCCCTCCTGCCCAGGGGCGGCATCTCGGAGGGGACCACGCGTCCTTTGCCGACCACCCCAGCACACCGGTGTGGCAGGCAAAGCCCGGCCCAGCCAGAGCTCATCCCAGGCGGCTGCCAGCTCCAGCCTGAGAAGCAAGTTACCTGCCTGCTTTTCTTGCTCTTGTGTGGGGTGTTGGGTTCATGCCCAGGATCTGGACTAGGAGCACCCCAGATGAGCAGCCGGAGGAGAGATGCCCTGGCAGGGCAGCAAAACCTGGCTGGGCACAGGACAAGCAGGATGGAGCCCCTGTGCTCTGGGGGTGCCTTCCAGAAGGCCCGGAGCAGCCCTGGGCGTGCCCGAAGGAGGGGAGCCCCTTGTGGCAACGGTGGCATTGGTGAACCTGGCCAGCCACCTTCCCCCAGATGCCACCCAGGGGCTGCGCTCACCTCATGCGCTTGCAAGATTAAGCCAATGCTTGAAGTGCCACAATGAAGTCAACAGTGAACTCTCCAAACCATCTGGGTTGGCACAACGCACTCAGCCAGAAAAACATGCCAGGCAAGGTTAACCTGAGCCAAATTTAGAATATTGTCCAAACACAGCCACTGGCTTGAACGAGCTTCACCTTGTGGTGCAAAACGCAGCCCATCTGTTTCCTTAACAAGGAGAGGGGCTTTTCCTAGTTGTATCTGTTTATTGAACCAAATAAAACTGTTAAACATTTGCAGACACACACACGTCACGTGTGCATGCATCAGTCAGCACAGCTCACTAACACACTGCAACCATTCAGAAGCCTCGCGGAGGGCTACATGCATTGATTTTCCAAAACAGGAAAAAAAATAATAATTAGCTCATCTTGGAACAGCACGCAATACAATTCATCGGGCCCTGAGACACAGAGACTCCTTTAACTGAACCGTAAACTGGAGTTACGCATTATGCAGAACCATGGTTTTATTATGGTTTATTAAAGAAATCCCCGTTGACTGGGTCCACACCTCATGCAAAGTCCGTTCGCTTAATTGTGGTTTACTGAGAAAGCCACAGCTGGCGATGTCTCAATGCAGCCTATGCGGTGCATTGACCTTCACTCCACACTCACCAAAGTTTAGAGACTTCACCTGTTTCTTTTACGGAACTCTATAAAATTGCCAGCGATGCGAGTCTCGGGTTTATCGAAATGCAGCCTTTTGGTAAATAGAAGCTTGATAAAATCAACATGGTTGTAGGATTTTCCCTTACAGAGCAAGGCGTGGAAATGAGTGAAAAAAGAGAAATGGAAAATCTGAAGTTCCTGGTACGCACTGAGCCCGCTTTTGCCGTCCTGCGATGGCGGGTTATTCCAAAGGGTGCCCCAGTCCCTGGCGAGAACCTTCTGACATATTTTTCCAGCCAGCTGAGAAAACAGCAAAGGTTCAGGGGTTGTGGTCAGCCACATAGCAGCGAGTTAACACCCTGGCCCGATGCTCTGCGCCTCATTAGCCTTAATCGGACAGATCCCGACGACAGCTGGAAACAACGGTGAAGGGCTATTGTCTAATTAGCAGGGGCTTTCCAAGGGCCAAAGCAACGGAGCCCGGTTGCAATGCCAAACTTAACGTTTTGTTTTTAGTACCCGTACACAAAAAAGCAGCAACTCAGTGTTGCTCAACCTTGGCGGCTTTCAGAGGTGTGGACTTAAATTCCCAGAATTCCCCAGCCAGCTTTGCTG